CTTATCAGATTAAATCATTTTGAGCGGGTCTGTAAAAAAGCAGTCGATAGCAGAAGTATACTAAACTGTATTTTGATTAAACATTTTGATTGTGGTAAGATTTTATAGATATACCCAATGATGTAGAGTGATGTACAAAACTTTCGCGTGAAGAGGGACTCGAAACCACATCTCACTCTATCCAGGACCGCGTGCTTTGACCCGTTACACTACTAACGCCTTGACGCGAAAGTTTTGCACATCACTCTATGTCAGTGGGTATATCTATAAAACCCTATCACCACTGAAGTGGTTGAATAATACATAGTTTCATTTGATCTGTGATATCCATTATTTGTCAGCGTGACTGGGTTCAATGTCGATACCGACTAAACGGGGCGAACCGCTGACGATTGGCGGCTGACAGTTAGATGCGCTGTAGCGTAGAAAGAGTGATATGCAGAATATTCGACCCCAGAAACCTGGTCGCTACTTATGCAAGACGAAAGATAATTAGCGCTATTGAACACGCAGTCGAAAGGCCGATACTATGAGTATTCCGATTTCGCAAATGAGATAAAGATCCTGAGATTCTAACCTCATCATCGATCAAACGTCAAAGATTCCGTTCTGCATGCCAGGCCATTGAAAACAAGGTGGGCTGCGCTCGTAATGCGCTTTAATGACAACCGATGGACTTGAGCCGTTACCGACTGGTTTCCTCGGGATGTCGAGCGCCCTACAAGTAGACCACCGACCTGATGGTCCGATTTCTTCGCTTAAGCTTAAAAGAAAGATTTGATGCTCAACGTATTCTTAGAGCGAGGAAGACCAACTGGGCTACTACTACACGCGATAGGGAGAAATGGATGCGTTGCTGTCGCACGCTCGAGTCACTCGACAATCAACGGACAACAGTGATAGAAGTGATAATCGGTAAACTCAAAGTTAGACAAATGCCTCACTAGGTGTACCCAAGGCACAGAGACATATCGGACGAGATTTTGAAGGAGTAATTAGTGTTCGCTTCAAGCGTTTTCTTAGAATCGCGCTCAAAATTCAATATATTTGATAACTATTACTTGAGCCAACAGGCCATGTGGTCTGTTCATAGGCTCTTGTGCAGCCCAATAAACTTGTTTCGGTCATGGCAGCTTCGTCAGCCTAACGAGCTTTCGTCTTAAGCCAATCCTCTCAGAGGCCCCTACATACCCCTATATAGAGTAGACAACGACGTACGATTGACACGTGCCGTCAACTGTAATAAGTCACTAGATCGAGTGTTTCACACTCGATTGCTCCTAGCTGGTGTTTTAAAGTAATTATAAAGATATATGTCACCTGTATCACCTGCCGTCCCGTTAATCGTCAAGTGACTTGAGCGTACACGAGCAACACTTCCATTTTTCCCTATCGCGTGCAAGAGTAGCGCAGTGGGTCCTCCTTGCTCTAAGTATCCGTTGAGCACCATATCTTTCTTCTATGCCTTTTGTGAAGAGATCAGACCATCGGGTCGGTTGTCCTCCTGTAGAGCGCTCAATATCCCGAGGAATCCAATCGGTAACGGCTCTCGTCCATCGGTTGTCGTGGAAACGCATTACGTGTCCAACCCACCTTATTTTCGATATCCTGGCGTGTAGAGCAGCGTCTCTGATTTTTGACCGTTTAGGCAGGTCGGAACTTCGGATCCTTTTTCTCATTTGCGGGATAAGGGTACTCCTAGCACCCACCTTTTGGCTGTGCATACAACAACGCTAAATGATCTTTTATCCTGCTTACGTAGAGACCAGGCTTTGCTGCTTACGTTAGGGCAGGGATCATTGTCGAATTGGAAAGGTGGGCACCGAGTCGGATGTTTCTTGTCCTCTTCACCACATCCTCGATGCTCTCGAACGTTTCCCAAGCCGTTCGTTTATTTCTGCTAAACTCTGGGGCTAGGTCGTTCAACAGGTTGATGTTACGACTTTCACGAGGTAGACGTAACTGAAACATCTAAAGGTACTTATTTTGCCGAGCGTCGGTGAGACATTCAAAACCCACCCGCTCTTCATAGATATCGTTTACCGTTCAGCTCAGTCACAGACCAATATTCTACAGGAGTTATGGAAATTGGTCAATATTGGTTCTTTGTGGCTGATGTTTGGTGTTATAAGAACGACATCATAACAAAGCGGCGATAGTTCAATTGTCGACCATCGATTTTCACTCCCATATAGCGCTATTCTGATATTCGTATGACGTTTTGGAAGGTGGCAGCGAGTAATATTGGCGAGAATGTATCGCATAGTTGAATCCCTTCTCTTACGTCGATAGTATATCGCCATAGAATAGCGATATGTTGGTTGGCAATTCTTTATATAACCCACGAAGTATCGTTTGTGCTGGGTATGAATGCCCTGGTTGACCAGAGTCTCTAAGACTGTTTCTGTTTCCACTAAGTCGGAGGCCTTCTTTGAATCTATGAACGTAAGACAGAGTAGTCTTTTACATTCCCATAAAACTTCGGTGAGTCTTGTGATGGTGTCGTTGTGTTCTATAGAAATAAATCCTTCTGAAAGCTTTGTTTCTCTACCTGGCTGTCCTTCATTCAGTGCTCTGTCAGTCTTAGTTAGGATGACTCGAGTAGAGAGTTTATAGACGACGGACACCAATTAGATTGAGCGAAATTGCCTAGATCGTAAAGGTCTCCCTTTTTGAATAATATCACTGTCTTAGCATTGACTGGGGACCTCGCATTCTGGCAGGTAACGAGTGAAGAGATGAACCAGGGTGCTCATGAGAACTGGCAGTAGGTTCTTGGAGTGTTCTGACCCTCTACGGATCAGGTGTTCTATTCTTTATCGACGAAAAGGCGTGTTGAATCTCAAAAGGGAGAACCGGTGGGAAAACAAACTCGTTCTCTTTTATATTATGCGACGGTGAGAGGACATGGCTATTGAAGAGATTCGAGTAGTAATCGTAGATGATTTTTTACATTGAATTTCTGCTAGCTGTCACTCTTTCCGTCGAAGCGTCGGAGTGCAGTTATCTTGGCTTTTTGATTGGTGAGACTTCGGTGGGCTTAGCGAATGCTCTTCGCAGCTTTTGCAGTTTTGGCCATAACTGCTGCTGTTCTCTTTTGTAAATCTTTTTTTTATCGCTTTTCTGTACCGCTTTACAAGTTTAACATGAGATTTCGATTGTCTGCGGCTTGTGCGATCACAAGTTGACGCATCAGCTCGAGTGTATCTCGAGATGAGCGCTTCTTAGCGACATTAGGACTTTTGGTTTTTCATAGCGTTAACGTGAAGATGTTGGATGAGCCAGCCGTATTCTTCATCGATGTTAGTAACGATGTTATCCTATCGAGCAGAGCCATGATTTGACCCAGTTTGTGGCAGCTCTAAAATTTCTTTGTTTGAATTTAACTGTTTTCTCCTTTACTTAAAAAGGAACGTTGTGTGAAGGAGACAATTGTCTATTCCCGTGCAGATCTAGGGAACAACAACGACATCGGTCAGGCAGAGCCTCGATTCACTAGGATCAGGTCTGTCGCGTCCTGGTACTCTCCTTTGGAAGACTTCCACGCCCACCTCTGAGAGTGATGCCTTTGGAATCGTGAGCTAACACATTCTAATCCGTAGGTCTCAATGCGACCTTCTTTAGGTTTTCTTTTATGTCCATTTTTAATACACTGTATAAGTGTGTTATTGCAGTTGTGCTTCCTATATGTGGTGCGCCACCTTCAGCACGTGCAAAAGCACTCAACTTATGAACATTCTAAACAATCAAATAATGGAATTCTCTACACTAGTTCTTTCTTCAATTTACTCCAGTATGGTCGTTTAATTTACGAGATTCAACCATCGCACTGACCAGGTGAAGAATGGAGTCATTTTCTAAGAAATTGCCACAGTCAACAGCCAATAAATAAACATTGTGCCAATCCTAGTCTTACAGCATAGCCCTTTTTGAGGCTCAAAAAATGACCATTTGAACAACACAAGGTTTAGATTATCATACAAGTAAACTCTTTAACGCTACTGAGAAGTAGATGAAACTCATTGTGGACAAGTTCGTTTGCTTTTATACCTTCTCAAATGCTGTTCTCAATTCTGCTGGCAGAAAACATCTATTTCTTTGAACCATTAATATACTCTTAATCATTAAAGAATAAACCTTTGATTCCTGACTTTGAGATAGGTATAGAAAAATCTTTGAGATTTTTGATTTTTTAAAGGATTAATCTTTGATTAGGATAAACCTTTGTGATAAGTAAGTTTTCCGTTCCCGAGTTGAGAGTTGCTATCATTAGTGCATCTGGGATGCACATTGGTCGACACTGAGGTCTCAATAAAGTCTATTGGAAGATGTTGTTGCATTTGCTCTGTAACAGCTATGAGCCATGAAGCCGACAATAAATCATTCTGAAAGATCACCACGCTGATTCTTTTACCGTACGCTGAGTGTAAACACTCCGGCACTTGTTCCTTTATGTAGGTGAGATGTTCCTGTAGAACTGACTGAACTGAGTGGTATCGTGCAACCGATGAGGCTGTAAAGCCAGAATACGTGTCTTGCAGTTTATAAGTTACAATATGTTATCGAAAAAGCACTAAATGTTGGACAATGCATTAGTATCAGAAAGTTGGTTACAAGACTTAGCACGCCGTTTACTTGCAACATTTCTTTGACTAAGAGAAGGAATACCATCTTTAGAAAAAAGATTGAACTCACTCGAAAGGCAATAAAAATTTCGCAGTTGTCCAAGATAAAGAATCTTCTTGAACTTCATAAACTGAAGACGATCACGCTGAGGATGTATCTTACTAGACGTCAACCACCGAGCACTGGACATCGAAACAACTACTCGGTGCCAATCTACGACGTATGAAGGGCCAGATGATGGCTTAATTAAGGAAGTGCGTTATAAAGGAAAAGCACTATGTTCGTTTTAGACCTCACCTACAGACAAGAATAGCGGGCTTTAAGTAGGCGAAGATGCCCGAAATGTAGCCTGAATATTATAGTTGCAACTATGGGCGCATGTGGCGCAGTGGTTAGTGGTGCTTTGCGTCTTATGCAAGGTCGGTGGTTCGATCCCGCGCTCATGCCTCATCAAGCCCTTCATCTATCCAGAGTCGTCGTTGAGATTGGTATCGGGCTCGTTTGGGAGGATAAGCAGCATTGACTTGATATACACAAAATCACCTCAAAAAAGTAATATATGAACAACAGTGTTGGCATATCCCCCAGTCATCAATCAACGCCGTGGGCTTCGTCCTTTATCCTTTTATTTATGATCTAATGTCTCATGGGTGAATGTTGCTTCAAAGTTGAATAGAGGAAGTGAACGAGTTGCGAAGCTCACGACAATATTGATGACAAAGTTTACTCTGCAATGAACATTTACTTAAACTCTGATTATTTCGATCATCTTCAAGTACAATATTCTTTCTTATCCTCATCATGACGTAAGGGCGCTAAGGACACAGAAAAAACGAGTAGTTGCCATCATTGAAAGCGTCAGTTGTGTTTGAAGAAAAATCGAATAAGACATCAAAATTTTGACCCCTTCGTGTGATTGAAGTAATAAAAGCACATTGTAAGAAAAAATAGAGCGCATGTGACGCAGTAGTTAGAGGTACTCTGCGTCACACACGAGGTCAACAGTTCGATTTCGCGCTTATGGCTCACCAAGCCATCCATCCCTGTGGAATCGATAGATTGGTACCAGACTGGTCTCGGACTTGTCTTGGAGGATAAGCAGCATTGAACGGTGCAGCAGGAGGCCACTGCGGGTCATTGTAAAGGCCAAATATGCTTCAAACACCTCAAACGAATTAAAAATTGGAGACGAATGCACGGCGCATCCCTCAAAGATTAATCAACTCCGAAAGCCTTGTCTTTTAATCGTTTATAACAAAGAATAAGGTCGGAAAAACAGGCTGTGTATATTATCAAGGTGCTGCTTGAGAACCATCCTTTTTTACACTAGGGTTCCTTCGTATCTGCTGTGCATCTAGACCTTCGTGCATTCCATTTGTTCTTTCGAATCAGCCATTCACGAACAATTTTACACTTATTGGATGTTGATCGACAGCTGTCTGAGAATTTTTGTCTATGTTCCGAAAAATGTTAGGTTCCATTCGGATAGTTTCCTCGAAGTTCAAATAGTCGTGCTAGGCTTTCCCACATAGATGTCAGAGAGCACCATTTTCCAGACAATTGGGGCACCAATTCCTGATCCTGCTAGGATCGCTTGGTGGGTCCGGTGTGGGATCAGCGTTCACCATGCTTGTGACGATTGGCATCACTACCACGCACTATACGCCCTTGGGAAGTCGTTAAGAGCTGTGTTATCATAACACAGCCAATGGACTTATAGTTGACCAGTCGACGATTAACATGAGAAGAATTTTAAAACTGGCTTTCGTTTAATTTTGGTACTATCAATCAATCATATATTCTTCGTTGATTTAGCGAATAGTAAGAGATCGACAAAAATAAATTGAATCCGTCAACGTTTTCAGATCTTCCTCTTCTTGAGAGTGGATGATTGAGTCGATGTCCGCAGCAGTTTGTTCTCACTGTAGTCTTCGCCTTCTTTGTTGTGGAATGGAATCCTCTTCAGTGGGTCCCCTTATTATATACAAGACAGTTGTTGATGTTACCGATTGTCTGGTGATAATATTTTGTTTATCAACGAACAATCCACTCTGCGCTTCCGCTAACACTAAGTATGTCCGTTGTAACAAAATATTACCAGCGGAGAATCGGCATCATAAACAGCCGTCCTGTATATAAGAGAATCACTGAGTTAGGCTACTATTCTAAGCGGTGCTCCACCAATCGAGCATCGTCTCAAACGAAGCAAAGACCACAACCAGAATGAACGACTGTATATACTGATTTGAATCAACCGCTCCGGAGAAGGCAAAGACGTTGAACATTAATGGTGGAATTATTTTTGATCTAGTTCGTGCCATTTGCTTAATTCACAAAGAAAACTTGAAGACAAGTAGTTCAAATGAACTTCAAATGGTAACGGCAGATTTTTGATTTTCCTCTAATCCTACGACCAATTCATGAGTTACAGAATTGTTCACTCTGTAAAAAATTTGGCTCACTAGACGTTTTCCTAGCTGCTGAATGATCTTGGGGCTTTTCAAACTGCAATGTACACTAATAAAACCCTTATCACATTAGAATCAACTAAGCTGGGAAGAATTCGACATTTCTACTAGCAGAGTGTTTGAGAGAAATTTTTTGCTAAGCCTAAGTATGGCGGGTGACTTGTTACTATCAGCTTGATAAAAACGATAAGAATAAAGCGCATTACACCGACGCGACACATATCATGCGTAGAACACAATCGGAGCTTGAAGCCATGACAAAAATCACTCGAGCGTTATATATTGAAGCTCGATTGGCAATAAGCGCTAACAACACGATGACAGAGCTGTAAATTTCGACACACCTTAACAACCCAGAATCAATCATGGAATACAACAGTGTTAGCACACTTGTCTTATCAGATTTGCTCTGTGAATAAAGACATCACATGAAATTTGATTAGAATCGACAGCAGTTTATTCCACCGCCTTCAAATTTGAAAAAAAAAGAAATCTGGAACAACATTACTGGCTTCTTGATGATTTAATAGCAAAAGTATGACTGTTTATTCTCAGAGAAACTATTGTTTTTGCTTTTCTCGCAAAGCCTGGCGAGAGGAAAAAGAGAGATAATTATCTACTTTAAAACCATTCCAGGAACAAGAAGTTCCTACATTTACCAAGTGCTCGACTAATTCCTACCGCTGTTGGCCTAGAAATGATCGAAACGAATTACAGATATACACACATTCCACAGAGAGAGTGGAATTTCCGCATTAACGTCCAAGAAACCTAAGGTACATTTTACGACTCTACAATGCAAACATCAGATTAACCAAGTAACCGAAGTATGTGATATCAAGGTGCATATAAGGAGGCTCAACTAGATGGAATGCTTATCTAATCAACAAGATGCTCTTCTCGCTTCGTATTCTTTCCATTCTCGCTTTGAGCATGATATTTGCGCAGCAGGTACACAAAACCATTCTACACTTATTTTCAATGTGCAAAGAATCACTGGTTACGTTTGCAAAGTACACGGTATTCAATTAGAAAGGTGCATGCTATAATTATTGTAGACGTTTAAAGTGTCACAAGTGATTCATCAACCAATCGTAACCTCTGAGTGTACATGAATATACAAGTACAAACGATCATAAACAGGGTCGAGTCCCAAATTCCTCATTACAAAGCTTCTTTTAAGTTCAACAGTGCTTTCTGAGTTACTTTGAGCTGAAGGTAAGTCTATGTGATAAAAATTTTGTATTCTGTTTGCACATCTTCTTGTTACAAACACTTGAAATAAAGGTTTTGGTCGCACACTCTAGTATGAAGGCTTTTGTACCCTTTGTGTGAGCGGAGTTTGATATGTAAATCGAGATTTCACTGATGCTCGATATGTCACATCCAAATGAGTCGGTGTTTAACAGCGCTACAAGTGATCAGTTGAAAATCACGTAGTTGATATGTGATTTCAGGAAAATAACAAGTCAACCAGATCTTGCAACACCTAAAAAGTTATTTGAACCATATTTCTTTGGTAAGAAATGCTAAATCGAATTTTCTTGCAATACAATCACCAATCAATTTTTTCAAGGTCGGAGCTTTATAACTCAATCGTTCCTCAGTTCAGCCAATGGAAAAGTCAACAGATTAAAAAACAACTTTGTAAGAAAACTAAATTAAGTGTTGATCTAGTGCATTTGTGTAGAAATTCAATCCAGAACACGAGGCATGGTCACGGTTCAGGACAGCTATAACGTGTATTCAGTATTCATTTTTGAATGCGACAATTTTCAGACATATGCTTCGCCTGAGAAACGGTGCGGGGCATGCAAAATGTTGCTTACTGAAGTAGAAAAAGTTCTTGAGATTGGAACCGAATTTACCGAACAGGAATTAGATCAGACTATTAAGGTACGTCAGACCATCATAATTACTTTCTGGCTACTCCTTAATCAAAGTGTATAATGTTAAGTGAGGAATGATGGACGTGCATCTTTGTGATTTACCAATGAGAGCTGAATAGCTTAACTCAAAACAATGAACATACGTACACAGATGCGCAATGTTCATCGGAAATTATTTAGACCCTTTGGATACAACGCGTTTTCTGCTATAGAGTCTCAGCAGTTACATGCTAGCTCAAATCTCGACAATTTCATGTTGTATGTTATTTTCCTGAAAAGGCATTTTCTATGCGTTGAAAAACTTAAATCAAAATATCTTTCACACTCGGCTCGTTTTCACGCGTATTTTCATTATGTTTGCAGTTTTATCTTCGGTTTACAGAGATCTAGCTTTTTGCATTGAAAACGAAGAATAAACTTTGCACTATCGCTTGTAGATTTAGACTTTTCGTCTTCATTTCATATTGCTGAATAAACTTTTAGCTAAGCGTAAGCTAAAGCCCGTGCACAAAAGACATATGAACCTGTAAAGGAAATCTTAGAGTATCAGCGTCATAAGTTTTATTAAGATTTTTTTTTCAAAAAGGACAAAGTCCAAATTTGATAACAAAATTCGCACACCCACGTATAAATAGCTCTGCGGATCAGTTAGCCGCGCAATCGACACATAGCCACTCATGCATCCTAGTCAACAACGAATAAGCGTTGAGTGCAAAACCCAGTATTCTTTTGGCTGCTACAGCGGAACAAAAAATCATTCGCGAAAGTCATACGTCTCTGAAATAGTCGAGACTTACGCTTTAGAATGATTCCTAAAAGTCTAACAGAAGAGCTCCTTCCGACAAAAAAGCGCTGAAACGAAAATGAAGCATTAATATAGTTGTGATTAAAGCTATCGAACAAAAATCTAAGAAGGCACAAAAACACGTCATCTCTAAAGATCTGAAAATGGCCGTTAACATATAAATGCTGTGCCGATAGAGTTGCGTAGAGTAGCGTACGTCATATTCAACTGTAAAATCGTATGAGTCACACAAAGAACGTCTTACATAAGCAAGAAGAAGATAACCCGTTTTTCTGAATTTGATGA